ATAGGTAAGATAAGTGTCCAAATAATTTTTGGAGATACTGTATATATATATATTCTTGACTAGAAAAGAACTAGAAAAATAAAAATAAAAATCTCGATATTATTCAAGAAATTATATAATTAATATTTTGTTATTATAGTCCTTTATTGAGTCTTTTTTATAGATATTTTTAGTTCATTTTTCTCCTTTATATATTTTATTTATAACTACACTTGGGTACATACCAAGGTAATTGAGTGAGCTTTTCGATGCAAACGCTATTATACGATAAGGATCAGCTGAATCGTGAATCAAAAAAGGTTCATTTGATAAATTTAAACGAAATTTTTCTGGTATAACAAATGTTCGTATAGTTGTTCGATTAGGGCATGTTGGTAATATATCAGAACGTCTTCGGTATGCTGTGGATCTTAATTGTTGAAACATTGGCATTTCTGCCGCTGTTCCATATTCAAATCTCTGCAATGAAAATTATTCAAAAAAATAAATAAATAAAAAAAAATGAAAATTTTAAAAATTGAAATATACGAATTTTTTTGCTATACGATCATATATTTGTGGAAGTGGTGTTTTTATATCAGAAACAGCTGCTTGTTGAAATTCATATTGGACCAATAGGCATATTGTCTTATATGATATTTTCTCTTACTCAGTGTGCTCTTGTAAAATCAATGATATGTTGCGTTCTTAATCGCGTTACTCTTACGTTTATCTCTTTATGATTGAACGTTGTTCCTGTCTGTCGTAATGCGCTTCTCATTCAATAATATATATCTGTTCTCTCCTTGGTATCATTACTTGTTCTTTCGTACATTGTTGTATCTTTGACCTCATCATCTGTCTTCGCATCATTTCCTATTCTATGCGTACATACAAACGTGTCATTTATATGTGAACGATATGATGGTAGGATGTGCCAAGAAGCACGTCATCTTTGCTAATTATGCTAATGGTTATTACGTCATACGACACTAACATATCTTCTCAATGCCACTGGATCATCAAGGGTGACATAAGAAGATGGATGTCCTTTCTATAACAACTGTGGACTAATCTTATAATGCGTAATATTCCATTATATCTTTCCTCTTTCCTTTCTCTTTTTTTGTATTGTAATATTTATTCTCTCTCTTCTCTTCCATCCTTCTCCTATATAAGCTCATGTTGTGTATTAGATTGTTACATTTGGATGTAGGCACATTTGGATGTAGTGCACATTTGAGTGCAGTTACATTTGGATGTAGTGCACATTTGAGTGCAGTTACATTTGGATGTAGAGCCTAGTCGAATAAACATCATGCATACAATGGGTTATTTAATTTCAGTCTGAATTTATCAAATAAAAATAATACTTGATTTCAAACTGAAATGTGAGTCTAGGAGTGAGGGGGGGAGTGACTGAGGGTGTGGGTGTTGGTCTGGGACCCACACACACACCCACACCCATGGTGCGGGTGTGGGCGCGCGAGTGAGGGTGAGGTTGTGCTTGTGGCTTTGTGTACTATAGGCTTTAGTCCCCTGCACAAGGGACTAAGCGGGGACTAAGCTTTTTGTGGGGGGGACTAAGGGGGACTTTGCAGGACTAGGGGGGACTAGGGGTTTTTAGTGAGACTACGTAGTATCAAACGAGAAAAGTTTGATTCGGAAGAAATTGGTGTGGTTTTTTTGATTTTAGAATTCAGTTTGAAATAAAAAAGCCCATAGACTCACATCATGCCCATCACTATGGGATCAAAGACATAAATATGCCTCTCCATTTGTCATTAACGATAGTGGGATGCACTAGTAGCTCATTAACATCAATGCCCAACCAGTGGTAGAGCTGCATTCACCATTTTTCGTTACACATATATCGTTGCACCAATGTGAAATGGTAAAATACGTTCTTCATGCCGATGAATTCCTCTCATAAATTTTATTTTATTTTCTAATAATGTTACTGATGCATTGCATCGTTCATTAGTACAAGTGAATCTAATCGAACCGTTTTTATTACGTTTTTGAATACGATACAGGTCAGTACCAATCTGTATTGCTGGTGCACCTCGTTGAGCTTTCGTCCAATGAAAGTCAATTGGAACCTCCATCAAAATGAATAGATTTATATCAATAAATGTGTCATACTGAAAATTTTTAGTTTGTGTAATTGACGAATATTCAGCAGTTCGAATGACTTTTTGAATAGAATGAATTAAGTTTGAAATTAGAATTAAAATCAGAAAACTAGTTCTAATCATAAAAAAATTTTTAATATTTAACAGTATAAACATAGACATACCACAATGTGTTTTACAGAGCTATGATCAATTGTAAATAATCAACAAATTTTTTATTGAAACTTGAAAGTTCTAAACGTCTTAAATAAATAACGAACATGATTAAAAGCTCATGATTCAACAAAAAAAAATACTAAATTGTATAACAACTCAACATAACAAAATGAATAACATGGATAAATAAGTAATCGAGCGTCAACTTCATTTAAAAACATGGTAACATATCTAATTAGAAATACCATAGTAATAATTTTCAATATATCTATTGACTTTGATTAGAAATTCAATTGAGTTATCAAATCAAATATTCTTTTCAATGGAAAAGTTTGAATAACTTAAAAGCGAAGATTTACTTAAATGAGTATTTAGTTGTATTATAAATACGAATAAAAAATCGATAAATAATTGCACTATCAAACAAAGTATCGAAAGCAATAACATAAAAGCATTCTGAGCTTTGCAACAAAAACATTTAACGTTTCAAAAAAGAAAAAGAAATATTATTTTTTTTTTAATAGGCGCCTATTGAAAAACTATTAAAATAATTTATATTTGTAATCTAAAACTCAAGAATTGCTGATTATTTTCGTTTAAAGGCGCCCATGATGAAAAATAAACAAAGTACCTGAAACGAGACGCTCCCGGTTCCGCAGCATGTGCAGAACCAAAAATAGTTCTGGAAAACTCCTTTTTTTTTTAGAGAGTAGAGAGTAACTGTCCGACGAGCAATTGGCATAGCGAGCAATTGTCCGCGCGCAACTGCCCGGTGAGCGACTGCGCGAATTCCATCCTATTCGTGTTTTAAATTTTTGATCTGGATGCCACAACTTTGTTTCATGCACTTTTTTTCAAAAATATTATCAACATAACACATTAATGAATGTCTATCCTAGAGCGTGTTTTTCGTTTCACTTGTTTTCTTGGTGTGCTTTCCAGTTCTTTGCGAAAAGAAAACTATTCTAATTGTTGTTTTCCATTTGAACTTTCTTTCTTCTACAAGAAATTAAACAAAGCCGTAGAAATCTTTCTTGGGCTTGATCAACTAACAATTTAGAAGTAAATGGTCACAAAAGAATAAGTTAATTATTGAATTTTCAGTAGAAAAATGCAGTTTCTATCTAAGGTAGGAAAAGAAAAATTAATAACAGAGACAAGGTGGCATTACTCACCATGATACTTGTTTGTTCTCTTCGCTCTGAAACCAAGTAGTAATGGCACAAATCCTTTTGGATAATTTGTATACATGATGAACTTCAACCATCAACAAACCATGGACGCGAGTCGTCCTTATGAAGTGCAAATATACACTTTAAGATAGAATTCGAGCCAAAAAAGGATCCTAAGAGGTTTAAACTATTCTTAGAGAAATTTCGAGATTTATCGGGCACAGTTCTAAAATCCGATCTGCACGGAAGTCTAGCCAAAGGAGTTGTCCCAAAGCACATCTGCCACTCTAATTGAGAACATGATCAAATTGAGTGCGTATTCTGAAGCCAAGAAGCCAACTGAGGACAAAAATCGACTGCAACTCCTAAAAAAATGAGCACTGATCGATGAAAAACTGGGATGGTATTGAACAATGAGTGACAGCTGGACGAGAAGTTTGGCTTGACAGAGTCCGCACTAAACAGAACCATTCCAACAAATCTTGATATCAAGGCTGGAGTTGGTAATGTAACGGAGTCTGTGGCTTAGGTAACATAATGACAATTTGAGCTTCAACTTAAACGAAAATAACGACTGAAACAGGAATCTTAATCGAAGCAAGGATACACAAGACGATAGTAGTCGAGGTAGTTGCTCAAAGTGACTGTGCCGTTTCAGCGAGAACCAGAAACAATTCTCAGGCCAAGACTTCATCCGAATGCCGATCTTTGGCAAGGGACATGTGTATGGACAGGAAATGTTTCCAAAAGTGGCAGTGGAAACCAATATCTTGTATCGTAGGCAGAAGAGACCATTGAGCTCGGTTTTAACAGAATCAACGATGTAAACCAACGTACTATTGTTTGTGAAGCCCGTAGATTTTACTTATCCTGTGCAACGATAGGAAGAAAAATAAAAATAAAGCCATGATACAATGCACATTTTTCCAATCATAGGTTAGCTTTATCTCTCTTCATTATTGAAGCTGTCTGATCGAAAGTGATAGAACAAGCAAAATAATGATAAAATTTTGGTAGGAAAAAATCCAGTATGTCTCAATAATATATGATCATGCTTTATCCAACGTATACGGTTGAATGCACGCAAGCCAAACATTTTTTCGATTTGTACATAAGCAAAATAATGCTTTCATTTTCTCTATTAAACAACGTCGATACATTATCAACGTATTACACTCATCGTTACAATATTTATTGCATCAATACAAGAAGCAAACGTAATTTGTTTCAAATTGTAGTATCTCTCTTAAGCTTTTTTACTTTATCAATAGTCAGCAGATTTTTCTATTCTTAAATGATACCATTACCTAGATAGCGCTTCCTTTACATTCAAATTAAGTCCGTGCATAAGGGACTGTTAGATTAGAATAATCATCTAAGGATCCATGCTCTTGTTGAAATTCGCATGAAACTTCTAGTTTTAGTGAGTTTTTCCTAAAGGAAGTTAGTTTTCAAGTAAAATCATACCTCAAATTTTGATCTAAACCTTTCTCAATATTTATGCTTTGCTATGACTTATTCTTATATCAAGTTTCAACACCAGCGAAGTTAGTATCAGATGCAAACAATTCCTGCTCGGAAGAAAATAAAGAAGGTGTACAAACTCTTCAAGCATCTTAAGAGTTTTGCGTTATACTCGGTGACAGAAACCCTGAGAAACGGCTCCGAACAAGCAACACATGTTTTGCCGAGGAATTTAGAACTTTTTTCTTGTGCAGAGTCCTTTTTCAGAAGTTTTGCTTTCTGATAAGGTCAGAACCTGTTAGAGGCCTAAAGAGTTCTGCAAATCTTCTATTTTTCACTGTGCCCATATTCGCTGAGAAACTGTTTCAGATGCTCCCATTTGTATTCCACGTAACAATTGACACGCTCTATCAAACGCCGAGAATCAGTTTTATGTTAATTTCTACCGTTACTTACGAATCGCCGAACAATATTTTCTCTCTTCAGAATATAGGAAACTTCAGACGTACTGCCAGAAATTATTCGCTCACGGCTTGTCTGATATCTTTTTCTCGGTGTTACTAAAAAGATCAGGTAAAATTATCCTTGGGTCACAAGCGAGAGACGATACGTTTTGTGAGTTTCAACGTAGAAAAACACTATTCAGAATTGTATCCTTTTAGCATTCGAAGAAGTTGAACCAAGCTAGAAGTTATATGTACTATTTTACAGAATAAAGCGCTTCAGAACATTGCATGATAGCTGTTTTGTGATATTTACAAGACTCAAGTCGTTAGGTCATGAAAAAAAATTATTTTTCTTCATTGGTACTTCAGTGTCCTAATCCTACGATGAAGATAAAAATTGAAGACTCTTCACAAAAGGAAAGCAAACACACAGACCTGACAATAGGACGGTTTTGTTAAGATATCTCTAGCTCTGAAATTCTGTCGTATATTCTATGACCACGTCTAAGGATCATAAGTGAAGAGTAGTTTAATTTTCTGATGCCTCCATGCATGGTTCCCGAGAGTAGGGGGGGGGGGGGGGGGGGGGGGGGGGGGGCTAAAATCTTGGCAAAAAGTATTTTCTGCCAAAATAAGACTTTCACAAACAATGCGTGTTTCTTTCAAATGACAGTATCTCAGATAATCTTTAAGGCCACCCTCCCCCCCCCCCGCCCCCCCCCCACAAAGTCAATCTTCGTCAGAGGTTTCGAAATTGAGATAAACGCATGCGAAGATAGCCGGTCATCTGCTCTTTCATAAACAATAGAAATTTTTCCTTGGTACCTCATTTTTCTCAAAAATTTTTCAAGATTTCTGCCACCCTCTATTCGAAAAATAAGCGGTTTTTTGAAAAACCAAAAAATGTTTTTCGTTTTTTGTCGGTTTATGACTTTTCGACTTTGCATTCAAGATTTCTCGGTTCGGGCTCTGTCAATATATTAAAATTTTTTCTTCGTTTGAAAGGGCACATCAAGATGCAGGGCACCACAGAGTCCATTTTTTGATTAAGCTTTGTTTCTTGTTATGTATACAGACGTTTAGGTAACTAATGTCCATTTCAGAGATAAATGGCCGTGGATATTTTTCGAATAGCTTTTGATAGAAATGAGATAGAGAGCTGTGGTTTTCACCTTTGGAAAGAGGAGATGAAAATGCATCGAACCATATATAGAAAGATTTTTCTAACGACTTTCCTGAAGGTTTTAGTCAAACGTTTTCAAAGAATTGCGTTTTTCTCCTACGTTAAAAACGTGATTTTTCTATCAAAATATCACAAAAAGCCTCCTTTTTTCCACTATTTTGTTCAAAAACTGGGTGGTGAATTGCACTCCAATGGCTAGAATATCGTATTGGTAGTAGTTAGGAATAGAGCCTTTCCATAGTTTTTTGTAGCTCTTCATTTGGCGGTTCTAGCACACTCCTGAAAGTCAATAAATTAAAATCGCAATCATGAGAGGCATGCTGTTTTTCTTGAAGTTTTACGTAAAACCTTCAGGAAAGTCGTTTCGAAAAATCTTTCTATATATGGTTCGATGTATTTTCATCTACTCTTTTCAACGGTGAAAATCGCAGCTCTCTATCTCATTCCTATCAAAAGTTATTAGAAAAATACCCAGGGCCATTTATCTCTGAAAGGTACATTAGATACCCATTTTGGGCGCATTTTTTGAGTCATTGAACTTGTGATTCCCTT